TGTGATAATGTACTGCTATAGCACTGGGAAACAAATGCGTGTGGGATGCATTTTTATCTATTTAACTTCTGCTCTGCTTGATTTTCCCATTCTTACCTTTGTAATCGGAATACATTGCAGTCTGTCAATTTCACCTAACGACAGATGTCTGAATTATGTCTAGATTCAGAATGTGCTGAGTAAAGCTGTTATGAACATGTTTGCCCTTGCACTTGTGTGTACATATATTTTTATTTGTGTTGTATAGATATCTTGGGAATAAGATCTTTGGATTATGGGATAAGTGTATGTTTAACCTAATAAGAAACTACAGAAGAAGTTTTCAAAATGGTTCCAATAAACAATGGAATTCTGTTTCTTGATATTCTTGTCCATATCTGATTTTTGCTAGTTTTAATTTTTATTTAAATGATGTATAGAGGTACCTCGCTGTGGTTTTAATTTACATTTTTGCTAATGACCAATGATGCTGAAAAATTTTAGTGTGTGTTTTGAATATTTGTATGTCTTTTTTCTGAAATATCTGCTCACTGAATGTATTTTAGTGTGTATGTGGCTAGTATTTAACCTATTTATCTTTTAGGGTTCTTTATATATTCTGAATACAAATCTTGTTGATATAAGTATTGCAAATATTTTCTCCTTATCAATGGAATTTCATTATTATCACCAAGACAGTGAATTATAAAGAGCAGAAGTCCTTAACTTTAATCATGCTTGGATTTTCAAAATTTTTCCTTTTTTTAATTCTATCTGGGAATCTGAGGCCAGCTAGATTTCCTAGGCCAGCTGTTTTCCTAGGAAATCTATCAAAACAATGTTTCTTGTTTTGTTTCTTGTGAAATTCAAATCATAAAGATTTTCTTTGAAAAATTTTAGCGTTTTAAACTTATGTGCATTGTAAGTTAGGGTTTTATTTTGTTTAGTTTTTCTTATATATGTTCAGTTCTCTAGCACCTTTGTTGGGAAGACCCTTTCCTCCCACTCACTTGCCATGGCACCTTTGTTAAAAATCAACATATAGGTGTATTTCTGTTCTCTCCATCCTCTTCTATTAATATCTGTTCTCCCCCAGGCCATACTTTCTCGTTATTGTTGTTTTATATTTTGACTTGAAAAAGCTAGATTGTTTGGCTTCTTTAAGGTCATTTACTATCCATGTAAGTTTGGAAATCAGCTTAAAAGTGCCTTCTGGGATTTTAATGGGGATTGAATTGGTTATATCTGGGATGAATTGACATTGTAACAATATTAAATATTCTCCATGCATATTGCATATCAATCTTTCTATTTATTTAGATTTTCTTTTTTTCTCCTCTTCTGTTCTCTTCTCTCTCTCTCTCTCTCACTCACTCTCTTTCTCTCTTTCTTTGAGACAGGACCTCGCTGTGTAGTCCAGGCTGCCCTTGGCCTTGAATTTGCTTATGTAGCCCAGCTGCTCTCAAACTCATGGTCATCTGAGTGCTGGATTACACACGTGAGTCATCATACCTGGTTTAATTTTTCTTAGTATGTTTTACAATTTATAGGGTGCAGCTCTATTTCAAGACCTAAACTTTCAGGTTTTACCCTGAGATCTTTGAGACTTGTAGTTGTTAGCCTAAGGTGTCCTCCCACCCAGTAGGAACATCTGTCCACACCCCGTCATCCAGACCAGCTGCACTCAGCCAGATCCTCTTCTAATGGCTCCAGTTTTCTGCCACACTATGGAATTATTCAAGCAAACAATGCGCATCTCTTATGGGAACCCAGGGGCACCTCACTTCCTGTTACTACAAAGTCTGTCACCCACAACCCTGCTGATCCTCTCTGCTCCCAGTACAGTAGCCATGGGGCTCTTACAAGGTGACTTCTCGCCCTGGGTGGTGAGACAATGTGACAAAGAAGTTGCTGTCATCTCATTTGTCTGATGTGGGGATTTCTATGTTCAACAGTCTCGTAGTTTTTTAGGAGTGGGGAGGTAGGAACCCTTTGTCCATCAACAGAGTGAACAGGAAGTGTCTAGAACAATATGTCTTACCTCGCTTTTGATAAATATATCTCTGAAATATCCATTTTTTAAGTGTGATAAAATGTACATAAGATTTCTAAGAGCCACTTTGAAGTGTATAGCTCAACGGCAGAAAGTACATTCATGAGGAGCAACTGTCACCTCCATCCATCTCTAGAATCTTTTTCATTTTGCAAAACTGAAACTCTACCTGTTACATTGCAACTTTTTCTTTCAACCCTGGAAACTGCCATTTTGTCTCCGAATCTGGCTGTTCTATCTCATGCAAGAATCACAGGATATTTGTCCTTTTGTGACTGCCTTTTTCATTTGGCATAATGTCCTGCATGTTCATTCTTATTGACACATGTGTCAGAATTTCCTTCCTTTTGTATTCCATTGTGTATCTTGCCACAATTTATCCACTCATCTGTCTGTGGATCGTATTTTGACACCATTGGATGGTATTTGTAGACATTCTTGCTTTGTCTTGTGATGGCCATGTCACGCTGTCTCCAAATGTTCTGTCCCTAGTGGAAAGTTTTGATCTCTGGAGGTGCAGTGAGAAAACTTGTTGGCTCCGTTGGAGCCCTGTGACTGCTGCGCCCTCCGCATGACTTGGTCTCAGTCTACCCTGCCTTGTTTGTTTGCTGTCTGGGTTGGTTCCCCTTATAGAATTGACTGTCCCTCTTGCCTAGTTTCACACCACACCTTAAACCATTTAGCCTTCCCTCTCTTACTTAATCAGCATCTCTGGAAATATAGGCCAGCCTGACTGGCCTCAAAATGTGCAAACCCAGCTAAAGAGCCAAAGCTCCCGGACCCCGGAAGTGTCACCCAAACTCAGTTTTGTGTGGTTTTCTTTCTGACCTGGCCTGGAGCCTTGCTGGAAGGAGCCCCAGTGATTGTTCTCCTCCAGGAGGGCCCACGGACACCTGCAAGCGCTGTTAGCCTTGGAAGAGGTTGTAACCTGGATGGAGGAGAAGGAGGCAGCTGCCGCAGTTCTGACTGCTCTGAACTAGTGGTGATCAGCCCTGACTACACATGGGTATCACCTGAAGAGCTTTTAGAGCTCCTGAGGCCAAGTTGTATCTTAGACCAATTCAGCCAGCATCTGTAGATGTGCAATCCAGGCTGCAGTATATTTTTGTTGAAGTTCTCCTAGTAATTTCTTATCTTACAAAGTTTGAGAGCAACTTCTCTAAAAAGATTAACAGTAATACGATAGGCTAAGACAGAGCAGGATGAATTGTTATTAATTTTTATTAGATTTGCCTTCCTGGACACCATCCTTTCTTTCCCTGATCCTTTTCTTCTCCAGTTAGAATTCTATCAGTGCTATTTCTTCTTTCTTTAAATTTGCATTACACCTCTGAAATATTCTAGCATTGGGTCAAGGATCACCTTTGGATACAAAACATGTCCTCTCAGGCTGAGGAACAAGAAACAAAAGAGGCAATCTCTCCAGATGTTTCTGATGTTGCTCTTTTAAGAACCACTGCACCGTACAATTAGATCTTTCAAATAGGGCCACAACTAGACTGTCATTATCCCACATGAGGGAGGAGAAAGCTGTCTCCGGATAAGTAGGTGACCTGCTCAAAGCTCAGTGGAGTTCTGCATCCAGCTTATACTGTGTCTTGAGAACCAGTTGTGAGAGTCTCCTCTCAGCTCTGAATTTAGTAATGTCACTTTAGAAATTTAAAATCGACCACAGTGGAAGTATTTTTACTGTGTGTTATGGTTTATGACTGGATGTACCCCCAAAGCCTCATGCAGTCATGGGAGCAGGTTTCTAGAATTTGTGACTGATTCATGGTCCAATGTTGGGATTATGGGTGTGAGCGCTACATCCATTCTGGGGTGGGTAGCCTACATACAACACACAAGACAGAAAGAGTCTTCTCTCCCTGCTCATCCCCTTTTGCTCTTGCTGCTTTTGCAGTCTTCCACTGCCACGTGTCACTCTGCCTTGGAGCCAGCCAAGTGTGAATGAAACCTCCACATACTGTGAGCTAAGTAAACCTTCCCTCCTTAATTTTGGGTGTTGGGTACTTTGTCTCAGCGATGAGAGAAAATTAACCAAGATACTGTGTAAATTAGCAAGTGCTATGAATAAGGACTGCAAGCTCAACCAGAGAGCCACTGACACTGTTTGAGTCACTCACTGGCCCATGGCTGGGAAAAGTGGGTCTTGAATCCAGGTATCCCTTCTCCAGAGGGCTTGCTGTTTGCCACTAGGTTGAATTTATTCTGGAAGGCTTGTAATGCAAGTTGGGGCCACAATGTGGAAATCTTTAAATGCCTGCCCAAACTCTGGGCTTTATTCTGCATACACTGGATTTTTCAGAGTTTTGAATAGGTAAGTGCTATGTATGTTTAGGCAGGAGAACTAAATTGTTGCCTGTGTCTTTTTACTTTGCAAATGCGGTGAAAAAATGAGATGGGCGTGTGGAGTAAGGAGGCAAAATGATCTACTTCATTGAAAAGGATCTGTGTGGTCAGGGGGTCACCCATGTGGACAAGAGGCCATGCAGTACTGCAGAGCAGATGCCCTGGGCTCACAAAGCTTCCTTGTTCTCAAGGAAAAGGTCCCCTGTCCCGCACTCTACTCATCTACTACAACATGTACTGGGCTTCATGCAGCAGCTGCTGGCAAGAGCTGTCCCAGGAGTACCCAAAAAGGTCAGAATTCACCCTGTCGCCACTGTAGCTACCGTGGTACCTGCACATTCACCTGCCTTGGGGAAACTGAGACTTAGCAGGCCCCTTTCCTGTTAGGCATCCCTGTGCTTCAGGGAGGCTAGACCCATCTCTGGCCCAGAAGGTGAAGTGTGATTGGATTTTAGCCAGTGGTTCTCAAAGCTTCAGTCTCAGGATACTCTTAAAATTTGAAGTCTCAGGCTAAAGGTACATCTCTGATAGAGTGTTTGCTTCATGTGAGTTCACATGATTCTTATCTCTAGCATTACAGAAAAACAAAAAGAAAAAAAACAAAGAAGTACCCTTCATTCTTTTGTGACTCATAAACCTGATGATTGGATTTTCATACCATTCTGTGAGATGTGACTTCCTCAAACCCTGTTAGGATGTGGGTGTACAGCCCATCAAATGTGAAAATAAAGCCCAAAGTCCTTCTATTTATATTAATCAATATCACCATATCAGAAATTAAATCAGAATAAAAATTTTATTAGCCTATTTAAAAAGAACAGTAGATCCATTGAGTGACATGCTATATATTTTTATAAGAAATTACTATATGTTTTAACACAAAAAATTTTGTGAGAATACCTAGTCATAAAAGAGAAATAGCTCCTTTCATAGCCCTTTCAGAAGGAGATTAAAAATGGTGGCTCAGAGACTGGAGGCAAAATAAAACTTTTCTGTCGCCTGGAGTCAGATACCTGAAAAATAACCGTGAAGAAGTAGAGCTCTTGGAATCAAGAAACATCTGACAGGGAACTAAAACTACAAGAAACTGGAGAAATTGAAGACAATGCAGAGAAAATAAAAAAGTATTCAGGATCCCAGTTTCCAGGGAGGAGGTCCTGGCTCTGCAAACACAGAATGGGCAACCCCAGGGAGAAACATGGATCGGCAGTGCTAGCCCCAAGAAAAATCTGTGATTATTATAAGTGCAAATACTGTATGGGGGTTTTGCTTTAAAAATGATTCTTTTCACATTTAGACTAGAATTGGGAAAGAAATTTACAGCCATGCCCGCCATATTTGGCAATGACGTAATCAGGAGACATTTTGGGAGGAGGTTTATTGCTTAGGACTGGACTGCTCCAGGAACCAGAAGTCACAGAACAATTACATTTCAGGGTCTCTGAGGTTTCCTTACCATAGTTTTCCTACTGTGCAGAGAAAAGGAAAAAACAGTCAGGCTCCTCAGTTCCCAGGTAGGAGGTCCTGGCTCTGCAAACACAGAATGGGCAACTCCAGGGGGAAACAATGGGCTGGCAGTGCCAGCCCCAAGAAAAATCTATACGGGATGGGGGCTTTGCTGTAAAAGTGATTCCTTTCATGCCCTACCATAGTGACTGGGTGGGAGACACCCACAGGAGAGAGCCATAGAGAAGGAGTTGGATAGCTGAAAACTCCCTGAGAAGCTTAAGGAATAGTGAGCTCAGATGGTAAAGGATACAGCGTTCCTTGGAGAGGCCAGGCCAGTCATGTGTCATATTCCTGAGGGGGCTTGATCTGAAAGTGCTTATATTAAGTCCAGTGGGCTGCCTGCCTCCCCATATACTTCCAGCAAAGAGCCCAGTGGTCTGTTTGCTTTTCCCATCTGTCAGTGTGATCAGGGGTACGCTTGACTTGGACACTTGCCACATCCTGGGGTGTAGAGACAGAGTGACCTCTGAGCACAGGGGCCCTTGCATGATCCCAAAGGTTTTAAAGCTTGCTGGAAATAGCAGTGACTTAGGGCACACAGAAGGACACAGACACTAAGTGGCTGGAGTGAATACAGTTCTAAGGCAGACACTACACCATTGACTGACTATGTCCAGCAGGAGAGACAGGACAGGACTTAGCTTTCACACAGAAAGAGGTGGGCTTGTAAACAAAATAGGCCTAGTTGTGATTCATTGTCTTTCACCCATATCCAAAACCACAGGCCCTAAAAAGAAAACAGTCACTCAACACGTAGAGGGGTGTTTTGGGACTCATTTCTTCTTTTGTCTTTTTATTTTTTTCTGTATTTAAAATTTTCTACTTTTATTATTTTTTCTTAGTTTTCTTTTTCTTGTACTTTCTGTTACTGTTACTTAATTCTATTAACTTTCTTTTATTGGACTTTTCCTTCTCACTTATTCTTTCCTTGTATTCCTTTTCTTTTTTCCAAATTTTACTTTTTTCATTTGTTCCTTCCTCTTCCAATTATTACTATTAGGCTTTATTAATATTTAGCTACTTAGAGGACTATTCTATTGTTGCTAGATTCCTTTCTGTTAATAGTGGCATAGTTTTGCTTCTAATATATATTGTATGTCAATATTTGGTTTGTCTTTGAAGCTAAATTATTATGCAGATCTCTTTTCTATTGTTAAGGATGGTATAGATGTAGTTTTATTATTGGTTCTTATGATATGTCAATATTTGGTTTGTCTTTGGCTCTGCTGATTTCTATTGCCAATGATGGCATTTCATTGGTTAGGAGTGGATGCCAGTATCTTGCTTATCTTTGAGAAATCAACATCATTGCAGCTCATTGTCTCCTCCCTCTGTGGTGCCAGAGATCAAGCTCCTAGAAGGAGAGTGGACACTAAGAAGATCCTCAAAGGGGCTGGGGATTTAGCTCAGCGGCATAAGCGCCTGCCTTGCAAGGTCATGAGTTCGCCTGGTCATGAGTTCGATCCCTGGTACTGATAAAAATGAAAAAGACAAAAAAAAAAAAAAAAAAAGAAAGAAGATCCTCAAATATTGTGCTGAATAAATTGAACAGAGGTATAAACACCAAAACATAGCCAGACCCAAGGGCACATCACAGGGAGACGGAATCTTCTAATCTCCACAGCCGTGATGGATTCTCTACCCTAACTGAGCTTTGACCCACAGCCAGAGATCATAGCAGCATGAGAGAGCAAGGCAACAAGATGTCTTCAAAACCTCCTAACTTCCCCAGAGCTGATCTCATGGACATTGAAGTAGAAGGAGCTATAGATGAGGATCTCGGAAACCAATAGTTGAAATATTTGACGAGATAAAAGAAGAAGCATATCAGCAAATGTGTAAGATGTTTAATGAGATCAAAGAGAATTTAATGAAACCAACAAAGATTTTAGCAATAAAATGTTCGATGAACTTAAAAAGAGAAACAATAAGCTAATTGAATTGAATATGACAATGTAAGATAGAAATGACCACTTTAGTAAAGAATTAGAAAGTGTAAAGAGAAAATCAACTGAAAAACATGAGATGAAAAATTCAATGAAAAACGTGGGTTGTAGGCTGGAACAATGTGAGGAGATAGCATCAAAAACAGAAGACAGAGTAGATGTGGTAGATCACAAACTCAGTAATACCCTAAAAATGACAAGACATCAGGCAAGCTGCATCCAACAGCCACCAGATTGAGAGAAAGAATCCCTGGGGATTATAGGAATAAAGGAAAAGCTAGATGACTCAAAGGTATAAAAAATTTATTCACTGAAATCATAGCAGAAAAACTTCCAAATCCAGGGGAAGAATTCAATATTCAAGTACAAGATGCACATAGAATCCCACATAGCCACAATAAAAGAGCCCCAAATAGCCACAGTTTAAAAAATTTCCACAACATACCATAATCAAAATTTCAGAAATTCAAAAAAAGGAAAAAATACTAACAGCTCTTAGAGAAAAACCAGCAAGTAACCTAAAAAGCAAGCATATCAGAATAATATGAATTTCTCAACCAAAACCTTAAAAGCCAGGAGAACTTGAAGTTTTTCAAAGAAAAAAAATTGTTAACCCAGACTTTATATCCTGCAAATTAAGCCTTTGAAATTGATAGAGAGGTAAAGACTTTTCACAACAAAGAAATCTTAAAGAAGTACATGGCACCTGACCCAGCATTACAGAAAAATCTGAGTGCTGTCCTAGACAGAGACAGGACTGTTACCAGCAGGGATGAGCCCAAAGGAAAGTATACATCTTACTGGGAGAGTAATGAGACAGAAGAAAAAATAAATACAGGAAGCAGCACTGGAAAAAATATTGACAAGAGTCAATAATAGCTCATAATAACTCTCAATGTCGAAAGTCTCAATCCCCAGTCAAGAAAAATCCAGCCTGGGAGATTGTACCAAAAGACAAAATGCAACTGTACGTTATCTACAGGAGACACATCTAATCCAAAAGGAAGTGCATAAATTGAAAGTCAAAGTATGGAAAATGATACTCTATTGAGCTAGAGCCCCCAAACAAGCGGGAGTAGCTATCTTGTTTTCACATATAGCAGACTTCGAGCCTAAGGTGATCAAAAGAGACAAAGATTGCTTACAACATGGCATGAGGGAAACAAACAAGAAGAGACAACTGTGAATATCTATGCACTGAATGTCAAAATACTCAACCCTGTAAAACAAAAACTACTGGACTTAAAAAGACAGAGAAACACCAATACAACCATAATGGGTGACCTTAATATTCTTCTCTCACAACTAGACCTGTCGATCAGACAAAAATTCAACAAAGAAACATTAAAGCTGAACCACATCACTGAACAAATAGACTTAAACGATATCTGTAACAATGGAATGCCAATTTTTCTCAGCAGCAGGTAAGATATTTCCCAAAATAGATCATATCTTAGGCCATAATGGATGCTTAAATAAATACAGAAGAATGTGGGGTTTGGGGTTTAGCTCAGCAGCACAAGTGCCTGCCTGGCAAGCACAAGGCCCTGAGTTTGATCCCAGGTATTAAAAAAAAAAAAAAAAAAGAACAAAGTAATTCACTGCCAAATCATAGAGGATTTAAGCTAGAAATCAACAGAAAAGAAGGCCAACAAAATGCAAATACATGAAGATTAAATAGTATATTATTGAATAATTAGTGGAAGAAATCAGGGAAGAAATAAAAAAGTTCATGGATCAAATGACAATGGAAACCCAATATACCAAATCCTACGGGACTCAATGAAGGCAGTTCTAAGAGGGAAGTTTATAACAGTAAATGCATGCGTAAAAAGGATAGCGTGATCCCAAAATAAATAACCTAATCATACATCTCCGAAGTCCTAGAAGAACAAGAACGATGCAAATCTAAACTAATAGGAGAAAAAACATAAAGATCAGAGTGGAAACTCACGAAACTGAGACTAAAAAATGGTATAAAAGATCAGTGAATCAGAGGGTTAGGAATGGGGAAACAGAAGGAAGGGAAGGGAAAGGAAGTGAAAAGAGCCAGGATGAGATATGTGTATTACCAATTCCTAGTGATGGATAGACTTAGCATGTATCACACACATATATTGATTTGAAAAAAGGAAAAATAGCCTTTTAAAATAAATGTGGATTTTTCTATTACTACAGCAAAAATTAACAAGAGGTAGTTGGTGCAAGTTTAGTTGTAATGGCTCTAATGAGATTGGTGCATTTTCTCACAGGGGCTACGTTAAA